TTCGAGTTTGGACCAACCTACAGATTACAGTAGATGAAAAAAAAAAAAGAAAAAAAAAGAGAGATTTACAATATACAGTCCTAAAAGAAATTTGGCTTGTTATTTATCACCGCAGAGAAAGAAAACGAAAAAAAATAAAAAAAAGGAAAATTTCATAATAGCTTACATTAGGTTCATTGTTTTCTTTGTGAAATATTATGAATAATTATTGTGTTCTTGAAAGAAATTACCATTATCATCATTTGTTCATGGACGCATTTATTTACATTCGCCTTGTTTATACGTGTGCTCATCGTTCGTAAGCATGTTCACTCAAGGTAAATACATATGTATTGTATTGGTTACAAAAAAGTCGACATAGGGAAATTCATCGAACAAACTTGGTTGAATCAGGTGAATCGAGGTTAAATAAAACCAGTAATTCAGAAGCTCGTTTTGATTTAAAAAAGACACCTAATTGGTAGAGATTTATAATGAAAAAAACAAAATATTTAGTTCCTATTAATAGAGATCCACTCATTTTTCGTTAAAATCGTTGATCCTCGGATGAAGGAATAAACGAATCGTGAATGAATGACGCACCCTTACGGTGATGGATACAACCTTCTAGTAATCGAAGTTCTTTAATTCCTACCACATGAATCTTGTGGCTGTTCTCCAAGAATGAGCCCATACTAATAATAAAAGGTCATAGTATTATCATTGGTTATCGTTATCCTCCTAAATTTATTCAAACTCTTCGGTCCATCATAATTTGATGTCACTGCAGACGCCCTAGCCGATAAGCGGCAAGGACCACACCGCAATAATGCATCACACTTGAATGATCGCAGTGGCGTTTTATGGCAAACCCACGGAATAATTGTCCGCATCCGCGCATGTCTGCTGAGAATCATGTATGTGATGGAGTGCAGTTTTTGTATGTGCGTTGCAAATCGCAAGGTCACGCATTGTATTTGAGATCGGTATTAGGATGCATCCTTTAGCGAATGGGTAGGTCGTCATCTGGAGAACATTAATAAATAAATGGATATTTGAGTACGTCGATTTCTATTATTCATACATACCTCGCGGCGAGCCAATTCACAACAGTGCGATAGAATGTCCGTACAATACAGTATCCAGTATAGTTGAAATTCGCTATTTCCGTCCGAAAAGAAACATGCACATTAATTACGATTCGTATCATCGCTCGTTCGTCAACAAATCAGGAATGACACACACACATCTATAAACCTGCTTATAAATGAGCACGTACACGCAGGGATATACAAGATTATTAAATACTCTTTTGTTGTTCTGTATCTCTCGCATCCCCGTTCCCGAACATCGTTCCGATTGCATGTCCGATTATATCCGATTATTCGTTTTCCTTGCATTTTTAAATTAACCCAACTTTTGTTAACGTTAAAGGAGAGAAACATTATCGGATAACTTTGTGGACAATACTCCAATTAATAAGTATCCGTATGCAACAGGGAATTACCGCATAAAGGTGGTTAGTAATAATCCTCACGGGATTTAATTAAATTTGGGGAGCGCAAGAAATTCATTGTGTTTCCAAGTTCATAATAATAAAAAGAAAAAAAAAATTTTTTTTTTTTTTATTATTACTGTATTATTATTATTATTATTATTATTATTATTATTATTATTATTACAGTATTATTATTATATTATACTGTCTATTACATATTCATATATTCATCGCATAGACGAAACATAAGTTTGTTAAGAAAAAAGGCTTCATTCACTAGTACTTATGTCTGTTAGATCATTTCATAGGTGTGTGATGAAACAATAAAAAAAAATATCTCCTTCAGTAAGATTCCCCAGAGAACATGTTGGTACACCGACATCATTTGTCCAATGCACAATAAACAAATGCACATTCCTAA